CTCAGGTAGCCATGCTGACCCCTCCTCAGGAGTCTGAGGCGGAGGCCTCCGACACAGACACCTTCGGACCTGGTACGTAAGCCAACCCAGACCGAGAAGGGGAAACAGACCCTCCCTGTGGCCCTCTATGAAGCAGCAAGTCCTTCCGCGTCAGAACAGGGACATGTTAGCCCTTCAACAGTGGTTCTCGAAGTCTGGTCCTCAGCAGCAACAGTACCTGGGAACTGCTAGAAATGCACATTCTTGGGCTCCACTGTAGAGCTATGATTCGGAACTTGAGAAGGTGAACAATCTGTTTTGTTACTGTTTTGTTTTCAGTACTGAGGATCCAACCTAAAGCCTTCCCACTGAGCTACATCCCCAGCCCTTTTTGTACGTACAGTATTTCAAGAGTCTCACTAAGTCACTAAATTGCCCTGGCCAGGCTACAATTGGGATCCTCCAGCCTCAGCTTCTCCAAGTGCTATGATTATAGGTGTGCACCAGCATGCCAGGCTGCTGTTTTAAGCCCTCCAGATGAGTCTAGCCCCAACTCAAGTTTGAGAACCACTGCTCTAGAGTGTTAAGAGAATTGAGGCCTTTCTTGTCCCTTTCAAGGATAAACTAAAGCTCAAAGGAGTCAGAAAGTCACTTGGTGATACCTCCAGCTGATTCACCGAGCTTCCCTGTCCTGTCCTCCCTCCTGCATCCTTCTGAATGACCAGACTCATTCTGACCCACAGATGGGGTGACACCCCTGATGCCAGTAGTCTGCTGCGGGAGAGTGGAGTCTAGGACCTTCCAGGGAACCTGGCTAGGGAGCCCTGAGCCCTGGGAACCGCTGCCAGGGGGAGTCGCCTGTCTCCAGGCTCACACCACAGGCACCGGGGAGACACCCCTGCACCTGGCTGCCAGGTTCTCCCGGCCAACTGCTGCCCGCCGCCTCCTGGAGGCCGGAGCCAATCCCAATCAGCCAGACCGGGCAGGGCGCACCCCACTTCACACTGCTGTGGCTGCTGACGCTCGGGAGGTCTGCCAGGTCAGCACTCACTGGGGTCCCTGAAAGGAACCGGGGAGCACGCAAGTGAAACCGGGCAAAAGCATGGGGGGGGGTAACAAGGAGGAAACCAGCCGTACTGGGGACCTGAAAGAGAAGATGACTGAATAAGGACAAGGAAGGGGGTTAAAAATCTGAGGGACCCGAGTCCAGTCCGGGGTTCCCCCGAGGTCACAGGCCCTGTCTCCAGCTCCTGCTCAGCAGCCGGCAGACTGCAGTGGATGCTCGAACTGAAGACGGGACCACACCCTTGATGCTGGCCGCGAGGCTGGCTGTGGAAGACCTGGTGGAAGAACTGATTGCAGCCCGAGCAGACGTGGGAGCCAGAGATAAATGGGGTACAGGGGCCGCTAGAGCTCAGGCCATGGGGTGAGACGGGCCCGAAGGACTGCAGCGGCTCGGGCGTCCCGTCCCACACTGCTGTCAGGGTGGCAGCGAGCTTCCCCGTCACTCTACACACACCACCCCAGGCCACAGCGAACAGGGATGGAGGGGGTCTCCCGGTCCCCCGACGCCAGAACAATGCCCATTGTCCCTCCGCGTGCCAATGACGTCACCAGGGCAACGCTTCCGGCGGGCGGTCGCCAGGGCAACGCTTCCCGCCTCTGAGGGATCCGAGGAGCCCTTCTCCCAAGGCCCGAACCCG